CCCCAAAACCCCAAAACCCCAAAACCCCAAAACCCCTTCAAAATTTTATGAGGCTGAAAATTTATTTTAAAAAACGAAATTTCACAGCATATCTCACCCGGCTCTTGATGAGGGGGTTCTCACAGAACTCTTCGAGTATCATCCCTGGATATGAAGGAAATCTTGTCACGAAGTCGTAGGGAAATCTAGAAGTTTATGCAATTTTTTACTTGTGAGGTATGTCTTTATCGATGTAATACAGGAACACAAGCGTTCCATCAGGCTTAAGCCAATGATAACTCTTGGCTAACAGATCATCAATTACATCTTTATAACTGTACCTAGAGGCTTAGATTAATGTTACTGGTTATTTCTAGAGCTTTTAATTCTTAGACTGCCATTAAACACTTTGGAAGCTGCCTGAATCCCATAGGGAGGATCGCAGATAATATGGTCAAATATTTCTCTTCTCATTCTACTTCTGGAGAAATCACTGAGGAATAGTTGAGGTCTGGGTAGCCCATAGTGATCGAAATTTGTAAAAACATCTAAAAGTCATCTTAATAGCTTACTCTTTTGATCCTTGTTGAGCTTTGGTTTACCAAACATTGTTCTACAATTTCAGAAGAGAAGGATTACTTGTAGGCCAGGTCTGACCCAATTGTGTTAGCACCTAAATGAGCAGCAGATAAAAGAGTGCTTGCTGAGCCTACAAAAGGATCATAGACAACTCAATTGGTATCCGAAGGCAACTCGGCAAGGTTTCACATGAGAAATGCTAATTCAGCTTTTGTACATGTAAATCCTCTGAAAGGTCTATTTGTCAGTCGATATTTCTTATAGTAATAATCTGATTCATATCTCTGGCCTAGGTAAGTCTTATTGTGCTGATAGTCAAAGTGGATGTGGTAGATCACTTCTGGTGAATCCAAGTCAAATTTTTCTATTAAAATTATACTCTAAGAATTACTTCCCAGGGTATCGTTGTTTCTGTAAAACTGCTTGATTAGCTTGAGCTTTTGGAAATGAGATACGCCTTGGTAACTAAAGATCAATGAAAATTCTCTTGCAAACTGGAGAATAATATCAAATACCTGCTATCTCGATTTGTCAGAGTCATATCTATTCGGAATGTTTTTGATTTGTTCTGCTCCAGAATTTCCGGTCCAACGCTATGAATCAGTTCCAAGCACTACATAGGAATTTGTTGTGTTCCGTTTATCTCAGAGTGAATACTGGTCATGCTATCGATGAGTATTGATCGTTTTAGGATTTTATGAGCAACTTCTTGGCTTTCTAGTTCGAGTTTTTGCATCCTGTGTTTTCTTAGTTTCTCTCTTTCCTGGGAGATATTTTTCATTGAAGCCTAAGATTGATGCAAATTAATAAATTTCTAAACCCTTCAGGTTGGTGCAGAGGTCTGCACTTTGATAAAACCTCTTGCAATTTTGGGGTTTGGAAAATATGTATAAATCTACTTTTTGAAAATAAAATTCCAAAGACTTTAAAGTACTTACGAATACCCTTTGGTTGGGAAGCATCGAGTACAGATTGGCCAAAGACTTGATTTCAGGAAGTATAAAATCAATATATCCCTTAGGTCTTCGGAACTTGAACAAGAACTTCATTCAATTATTATAATTCCAATAGGGGTTTTGGGGTTTTGGGGTTTTGGGG